AGAATTTACAGGGGCAAAGTGAGTGCAATTTAAAAAAAAATAAAAATAAAAAAGGAGAGGAAATGAAGAGAAGATCTATACATTAGGGACAAAGCTATTATATGAGATTGTACAAACTGCTTTGTCATGGGCATGAAGAGTGAAGCATGGCTTAGGCTCAGAGCATGAATCTGAGCTAGCAGCACGAATGTCAAAACCTGCTACCATTCCATTTTCCAGACTTACCTGAGAAAACAATCAGAACATATAGATCAAGTTGTCCCTCAAGACACAGAAATTATATATTTGAGAAATTTCCACTTTGCAGACAAATTATCATAATTCGCCAATTCAACAATCAATTGGTGGAAGTAGAGAATAAAATGAAGCACCAAGTACATACCACAAATGAATGCTCAGTATGCGGATCCCATGCCAAGCTTTCGACATCTGCTGCAACTGACCATTTAAACCCACTGTGATGTGGTATCCTGCCATCTTTCTATAAATGCAAAAGAAAAATGACATGTTCAACAAAATAGAAAGAACTGAAAACAAATGTTGTAAATCAAGAAGTTCTAAGGTTACAAAAATAACAAGAACAGTATAATTTGTTACCATAACTACTGAATGATCAAAAGATCCACTTAGAAGAACTTGAGATGCAAAATGATTCCATGCAACTGCTTGGACCTGAAAACATAAGCATGATATATCATATTTTGAAACCTAGATCATATTGGAGGTACATCATGATAAAAACCTAGATCCATGCACATACATATAAACCAATCGGACTAAACTAAAACTAATATGGGCATTTCAGCCTATCAAACATATCCGTGCATGTTTTTTCACTACTAAGCAAATAAAATTTAAGTGAAACCCAATACCAATTTTTTCCACTGTTTTCATACCAGCCCTAAACCTGAATGGAGGATGATCAGCATAAAACTTAGTCACATCTTATGTGATGATTCCATTTAACATCTTGTTGGAACATCCCTTTTAGCGATAAACAGCATCAGATCCTACGGGCAGTAAAAAGTGGACAAGGTTTAACTAGGGCTCATCCAAAGGAATCAAACAGTGTGCAAACATTACCAAGCTTCAACAGACGGAGGGGAATAGAGAAGTTACTCTAGGATAGCCGAATTAGGAGAGGGACTTCAAGTTAACTCGTACAAGGGGTTTAATTAGAAACAGAGGATGTAAANTTTGCAGTTTCTGGGCTGATCCAAACCTTCCAGGCCAGGTTTAATAACCGTGTCTAGAAGTTAAACAAATCAGGGATTGGATATATTAGAAGACTTTTCGTAAGAGAAGAATAAATTAATATTATAGCTTATGCTCTGGAAAGAGGATTACATAAGGCAAATGGTTTTGCAAACACATTCATGTATTAATTTAAGCAATCTCTAGTCAAAGTAAGCTGAGTGAAATTTGAACACCTAGTAACATCCCTAGAAAACAACTTTTGATTGATCAAAGGAATTCTTGTTAGCATATTTTCTAAATTCTAGACCAAATTATTCAGGCATTTTATGGTAGTAAATTTGCTATCTTTCTATCAGTTGAAACTTTGCATTTGCACACTACCAAAATCTTCTAAAAATCTGATTATAAGGTACACCAAACACGACCTACATTGCATAGATGACAATATAGGGATACAACCATCTTCAAGAGATTCTCTATTTTTAAAGAGCATAATCTATCATTTGGAGAGCATCTATAAATTTAGAAAATTAAAATTTTGAAGTACTCCAACAAGCTTTTTATATTTTGATACTTAATTTTGCTACTCCCAAAAAATTTATTATTTATTTTAACTAGCTTTTCTTTAGATTATTTTATTATTTTCTAACATTGCAAGTTTGAAACACTTTGAATATATTTAATTATAAAAAGTAGGTTTGGCTCTCCAAATGTCAATTTAAAGAGTCTTTTGTAGCATAATTTTAAGGGTTGACTCTTTAGAATAAAAAGCATCTCATGTTTAAAGAGTTTTTTTGGAGATGCTCTAAACACAAACATTCGGAACCAACTTATTTAGAGGTTCAGATAAAAGGAATTTGTACTGGCAATGAGGACCAGCAAAAATAAATCTCCAAACGTAGC